TGCTTGTAGATACGTGTAGTGAGCTATGCAAGGGTTTTCAAAGTTTATTTTTTAATCAATAACAAGTAATATTTTACCCTATACGTGATATAATTTTTTGGCGAATGGTGTTCAGTTGACCATTCTTGACCAGCTTCGCCACTGGACAAGTGCTTGAGGTATTTCCAAGAGAATGCGAAATGTGTCCGATCCGATTGGTACAATTTGGGCTTATTATTGTGTTCAATCGGAAAAAAGAGTAGTTGAGACGTCTCAATTAAAAATCGTGATAATTTAAGGTATCTGCATATATATTCAACCTTTTATATGAATTCAGGCGTAAATTTTTTAAGCATTTTGGAATAATTTATTCTAAGTATTTATGAAGTATCCTAAAAGGCATTAATATAAATTACAATATTTAGTAATTTAAATATTAGAAAAATTCATTGTGATCAAATAAACTTGTTTGACTCTTCCAATTATAAGGAGTAAAGTGGAATCAGAGGGAGTATCTACTTTTGTGTTTAAGATTTCTGTTTTGTTCTATTTTCTTCAAAAGAGATGCAACAACAGTTGACTAAAGCTTGAGAAAAAACGAACAAGAATAATATATCATGTTAACTACTCCACTGAAGAATATAAGAAAATGCTACGTGTGACTAAAACAAAATTCTGGTTGGTTACTGCTTTTGTGATATAATTAAAATATAATTATATCTTCGTTGCCAGCATAAACACGTTAATTACTATGCGTCGCATATTATTTTTAATAAATTCTAGAATGTTTTAAGATTATCTTTCTCGGTCGAAGTTAAATATTAGTACTACTGTAGTATGCAGTATTCAAGAATAGATAAGGTCAAACTTTATGACTTTATTGATCGAGTTTTCTCTTCAGCCCTCTGCCTATTCTGTACGTTCTACTGCCAGGAACTCTTTTCCATATGAAAACGTTAGGATTCTGCTACTATCAATAGTTTCTTCCAAGTAGAAAATATGTACGTAAAAGACAAAATACTTTCACTTTATTTATCTTTGGATGAAAGCGTATTTTAAATTCTCTTGTGATTTATGGAAACATCTAACTCAGTTAACAAGCCAAAAATTTGTCTTTCTTGTTAAGGACATGATTTGGACGTATTGTTCGAAAATGTAGCTGGCATGCAAGGTCTTCTACGCCGTCGTGATTTTCCATTCTATCGTCTAATCGATTATGCGACTGATCCCTATTGCCAAATCGCACTCAAAGAAGTGGAGAGTATCCCTCAATCCAATGGACTCATATTAAACACATTTGAAGATTTAGACGGGCCATTACTCTCCCTCATTAGCTCTCATTGTCCACAAACTTATGCTATTGGGCCACTACATTTGCATCTCAAGAATAAAGTTGGTGAAAAAAGGATGCCAATATCAGCCTCTTCAAATAGTTTATGGAAAGAAGACCACAGTTCAATTCAATGGCTCGATGCACAGCCAATCGAATCAGTAATCTATGTAAGTTTTGGAAGTATGGCAACTTTGTCAAAGGAAGAAATCTTGGAGTTTTGGCATGGGTTAGTAAATAGTGGAATCAGATTTTTGTGGGTCATGAGGTCCAACTTGTTAAGGGGAGAAGAATTGAACCACCAATTTGTGAAGGAGCTTGCCGAGGGATGCAAAGAAAGAGCCTATATAGTGAGTTGGGCTCCACAAGAAAAGGTGTTGGCCCACTCTGCTATTGGTGGGTTTTTAACTCACAGTGGATGGAACTCGACTATGGAAAGTATTGTTCAAGGAAAGCCCATGATCTGTTGGGCTGTTTACGTGGACCAACGAGTCACTAGTAGATTTGTGGGTGAGGTGTGGAAAATTGGGGTGGACATGAAGGACATGTGTGATAGATACATTATAGAGAAGATGGTGAAAGATTTGATGGTAACAAATAGGGATGAGTTCAAGAAATCGGCTGAGAAATTATCTAATTTGGCAAAAGAAAGTGTTGGAGAGGGAGGTTCATCGTACAATGCTCTTGAATGTCTCGTCGATGACATTAAAAAATTAGGCAGAAGAGGGAAGGATATCAAATCTAAATGCATTGGATACAAAGGGTAAAACTTAGCAATCATTATTTTGTACACAAGTGCAATTGTGATATAAATATTCCAATGTCCAACAAAAAGAATAGATTATTTTCTTCTTTTGTCGGATACAAGTTATTCATGGAGTTCCATGCCAGTTGTAGAGTTGAGCAAGTTGTTTTGATCGTTATGTAGGAGGTAAGCCACCATTGATCACATAAAACAAGCAGAAGATAGGTTGATTCAGCAAGAGTTTAAGGGGAAAAAAAATTGTGTAGATAAAAAATCCTCTTATCAACGATAAAATAAGTAAAATATAAGTTTAAAGTTAAGTTGTTTTTAAATATAAAATTATTTAATTATTTTTAAACGGACTAATAAGAAAAATGTGTAACATAAATTGGAACAAGAAGAGTATAAATTGTAACATATAAAATTATTTAAGCGTGTAAGCTTATTAGTTTTGCCCATTTCATTTAGACGACGAATAGTGGGAATTATTAGGGGTGGGCGTTCGGACAGTACGGATTGAATATGAGAATTTCGGTTTGGATTTTCGATTTTCGGATTGAAGATATGATAATTCAAATTCAATCCAAATAAGTTCGGATTGGATCGGATTTTTTAAGTTCGGTTTCGGATTAATCGATTTGGATATTATGGATTTTTGGTTTTGAGCGTATAAGTTGAGATGTTTCTACTTTTTACAAAAATGAATATCCAAATGAAGTACTCATGTTCCTCATTCTTTCCACAATCATCCAAATAAAGTGTTGACGAGCACAAAACACACACTTAAATTATGCTCGCTAGTCGAATATAGTAAAATATAATATCGTATCAACAAGGATTGGAGTTAAACAGTACTATCGTAGTTTGTAGCTAGATTTCTATCCAAGATGATCAACAATTGAGATTTTTACGACTAACACTAAAATTAACTAAGAGTCTAAACTATTGGCTAATGGCAATTGACGCAAGTAATGAGCAAAGAAGGTTATCAATTGGAGAAGATAGGGTTTTGATAGGATAGGTGCAAGATAATTGTTTGGGATCTAACTCTAAATAATTCACTTCTAATGATCAAGTGAGTCTCTCGAATTCACTTGATTATTAGTTCAAACTTTTAGTAGAAACTCCTCTCTCGATTAAGTCTCAACCTCACAAGATGAACGAATTTAAGCTCGGTAAAGATATTGTAGCCTCGTTTCCCCATTTTCTGCTCCTTATGTGCTTTATAGCTGTTATATGACTTACCGGGTTAGTTGGTTCGGGTCCGGAAGGATTTCGGAATGAATTGAGACACTTAGTCTCATAATTGAAAGCTTTAGTTGAAAAAGTTGACCGGATGTTGACTTTATGTGTAAACCCCGGAATTTGATTTTGATATTTTCGTTAGCGCCGTTGGGTGATTTTGAACTTAGGAGTGTGTCCGGATTGTGATTTGGAGGCCCGTAGTGGAATTAGGCTTGAAATGGCGAAAGTTGAGTTTTTGGGAAGTTTGACCGGGAGTGAACTTTTTGATATTGGGGTCGGATTCGGATTTCGGAAGTTGGAGTAGGTCCTTGGCGTTATTTGTGATTTGTGTACAAAATTTGGGGTTAATCGGACGTGATTTGATAGGTTTCGGTGTCTGTTGTAGAATTTGCAAATTGCAAAGTTCATAAGGCTTGAATCATTTTGCGATTCGTATTTAAACTCTTAATCCCTCACTAACTCGTAATACACCTATTACAAGCCACTTTGCAATACACCTATTACAAAGACTTCAACTCATGACTAACTCTAGTCACGACACAAACACAAAGGGTTTATGATTTTACAAAGGGGTTCCTAAGTGATGCTTCTAGCTAAGCAATTTAGGAATTACAATAGAACAATTACAAAGTTACAACTCAACTAAGGACAACAAAATACTAGATATAGGAACTGGTCCGTAGTAGCGTTTTACTTCGTTTTTCAAGCTCTTGAGAATTAAGTTCACTGTTTTGCAGAAGGCTTGAATGCTTGAAGTGAATTCCCAAGTGTTCAAGTAATGTTTTGTTGTAATACTCTTGTTAATACACCTTTGATGACATCACTTGAATGATGTAAGCACTTGGTTGGTCAAAGGACAAGTGACTGCAAAACTGCTGCACTGTGTGCACTGTTTCTATGGCAGTCACTTTCCAACTGTGCACAGTTGACTTTCATACTACTGTCAGGGAAAACACAAGGGATCAGGTCCATGTCTTGTTTCTCTATTTTCTACACTTGCAGCAGTTTACATTAGCTGGAGCTCTGGCTGGAATCCGTCCATCAGCAATGTGTACCAAGTGTGTCAGGTTCCCTATCTGGTTCTTAACATTAAGTTTGTTAGATCATCAAAACATAAGGCAAAGACATTGAAAACCCATCAGTCATTTATTAGACATGTACTATGTGGGGATTCACCCCTCCTATATAAAGGGGACCCTTGTCATTTTGTAGGAGGAGGATACATTGATTTATAATACAACATTCTCTGCTCTTGCTTAAACCATAGTTCTACACATTTATTGCTTATTCTCATTGTTCTTCATTTATTGCTCATTTTTAACCGCAAAAGGCCATCTTTGAGGCTTTCACTATCATTGTTTCTTCATCAATAGCTCACCACCAATTGCCCTAAGCAAGCCTCGAAGCCTCTGTTCCAGCCAGCTCGAGGCTCGAATTTGTAATAGCTTTGGTTTGCATTTCTTATCTCCTTTACGCATACATAACATCTATTGTCTAACAACTAGTATTAAGATAAATCACGTATTTTTAGAATCACAAAATCAAATATAATTGTCATTACCATTTTCAAGATAAACAGAAAAATTACGTATTGGTCCATTGTATTTGTATCCTAGCACAGAAAAAGCATCTTCTATTACGCCCCTGCTTAGCTTAGCAAATTTGGACTTGTCTAGTAGGAGTATTATATAAACATGAATGCCCGCCTCCTCATAGAAACATTTGCAACCAAAATTTCACCACAAATAATTTCCAAGTATAATAGGAGCTGAAAAGTCTCAGTAAAATTGGAGAAATTACGATGGAGCAAGGAGCAAGGCAAGCACCTCATGTGGTCATCTTCCCATTTCCAGCACTGGGCCATGTCCATCCAATGCTCAATCTGGCCGAGCTTCTTAGCTTGTCCGGCATCCATGTTACTTTCATCAACGCTCTTTCCATTCATAATCGACTTTTACGTTGTACTGACCTTCAGTCCCGTTTTGGCCGTTTCCCAGGCTTCAGATTCAAAACTATTAACTTAGGCCTCGGCGATGGACTTCCACATACTTCTGATGATATTATGGCCGTTTTGAAGTCCTTGAGGACCACTGCCAAACCACTTCTCAAAGAATTGTTTCTTTTGGATAATTACGAATTAGGCACTACTGATAAAGTTATAGGGCAGGTACCACCTGTGACTTGTCTTATATCTGATGGTATTTTAAGTATAGCACTTGAAGTGGCTGAAGATTGTGGGATTCCCACCTTTCATTTTCGTACTTCAAGCGCTTCCTCTTTTTGGGCTTATTATTGCATCCCTCAATTAATCCATGCCGGCGAGCTTCCCTTCTCTGGTGAGCTTTTTTCACTTTTGACCCAATTCTAGGGAAGACAACAAGTTTTAGTGTATTGAACTTGTTATCTAGGAGTATTATATTCTTGTATTTATAGGTCTTACATCAACAACAACAACAAGAACATACCCAGTATACTCTAGAAATGATAGAGTGGACGCAAACATTATCCTACCTTGTGTTGGCAGAGAGGTCTCCAATAGAACCTTGACATTTATCGGCCTTTATTACATCGGTTTGTAAAAAACTCGAATGACCATGTTACCCAAAGGAACAGACACATGTGAGAAACTCATATGACCATCCATGTTACCCAGTAGGACAACATACATGATTTTTTTTTTTATTAAATTTTCTTATTTGGGAGTTATATTAATTGGCCAACGACTTTATGATAGGAAACGACCTAGACACTCCAATTGCGAATGTGAAGGGGATGGAGACCTTTCTAAGGCGACGTGATTTACCGAGTTTTTGCCGCATGGATAATTTGGGAGAAGAAGCTTTTCAATATGTCATGAGCGTAACTCTAAGCACCCTTGGAACCAAAGGGCTTATATTCAACACGTTCGAGGGACTCGAAGGACCAATACTGGACCAAATTCGTGTTGATATCCCAAATGTTTACACCATTGGTCCGCTCCATGCACACTTGAAGAACAAACTAGCATCAGAATCAAAAGGTAAATCCATATCTTCCAGCGGATTGTGGGAAGAAGACAGGAGTTGCTTAAAATGGCTCGACGAGCAACCATCGAGGTCAGTACTTTATGTAAGCTTTGGAAGTGTGATTACATTGACAAAACATGAGCTGACAGAGTTCTGGCACGGCCTTGTCAATAGTGGTCAGCAATTTTTGTGGGTTATTAGGCATGATGTTATCAAGGATAAAGATGATGAATTTGCTCACATGGATGTTGAACTGAGAGAGGGTCTGACCAAAAATGGTTATGTTGTAAGTTGGGCTCCTCAAGAAGAGGTGTTAGCACACCCTACAATTGGAGGATTTTTAACTCATAGTGGCTGGAATTCGACTTTGGAGAGCGTATACGAGGCAGTGCCAATGATATGTTGGCCTCAATTGGCTGACCAACAAGTCAATAGCAGGTTCGTTGGGGAGGTATGGAAATTGGGGTTGGACTTGAAAGATACTTGTGATAGAGTCATAATCGAGAAAATGGTGAGGGATTTGATGGAAGCGAGGAGAAATGAGTTCTTGGAGAGGGCAAATGACATGGCAAAATTTGCAAGAGCAAGTGTTGGTGAAGGTGGATCATCAACTCGCAATTTAGAACGCTTGATCCAAGATATATTTAGTTTTCACGGAGGGGGTAAAGCATGAGTCCACACTTAACTTGAGTTTGGATAGCTAGCATTTAGCAAGTGATCTGAAAAATAATAGTCATACTTGGTCAATGTTTGTTTTTTTTTTTTTTAAATTTTGATGATCGATTCGAATAAAGATATAAAGGCCAAATCGAGTTATTTGAATTAGTTATAATCCTAGGTTGGTATCGAGTTCTTTGAATTAGTTATTGTGTCACGACCCCTAATTCGATCCCTCGGTAGGATGTCGTGATGGCACCTAGTCTCTACAATTAGGTAAGCCTAATAAATAGTAATAATTTAACAGAACAATTATCAAAATGCTAGACAAAAAAGCTGAATAACTGATAAAACCTTCCGATACAAAACATAATCTCAACAGAATGCTCCTCCAAAAACGGTGGGACTGAGTCATAAGCACTACAGAATATAACTAGAGTAATTACAACATCACTATCCGAAAGTAAATACAACAGTGTATGAGAATAAGGGAAGGTGACTCTGAGGCCTGCGAACGCCGAGCAGGCATACCTTGAAGTCTCCGATAAAAGCAGCTAGCAGGAGATCTCTAACGACCGACACGAGCAGACATATCAGGATCTGCACACAAATTTGCAGAAGCGTAGTATGAATACACCACAACAGTACCTAGTAAGTATTGAGCTTAACCTCAGTAGAGTAGTGATGAGGCCAGGTCAAGACACCTACTAGGATATAAATAAACAGTATGAAATGTAATAAGGATAAATAATAGAAAGCAAGAAACGACTGATACGAAACAAGATAATAACCTGAACAGATACCAGAATCTAAACAAGGGAACACGTAAAAGAAACAATTGAAGAAACTGAAGTGGTCATACACGGACAATAGCTGCTAGAACAAATAAGAATTAAACGACAAAAAATATTTTCACCAAAAACTCTTTGCAACATGAAATTAACAGCAAGAATCACAACGAGGTACCGCCTCGTGTATAATGAAATCAAACTGAGGTACCGCCTCGTATAATCAAGAATCACAACTGAGGTATCGCCTCATATTCACATTTCTCAAATTCAATCACAATTTTTCCTTATACCGCCGCGTGAGCCTTACATTTGAAATAGGTTTTGAAAAATAGTTTTTTCGAAATAGTTACACGCACTTTAGCCCACCTTATGATGCCGCGTGGCTTCACGTAGTTCCCCTACAAGCAACATGCACATAAGTCCCACCTTATACCGCCGCATGCACATTAACCCAAGCCTTATACCGCCGCATGCGCGTCAATATCATATCACAATAACAATTCGCACCTCAAGTGCCCATATATCACAACTTGCCAACAACAACAATAGCAATATTTCCACAACGTATACAAGAATATCCACAACAACAATGAATGAAAAATACTCAATAAGATAGATGTTTCAACAATAACCAACATCACCTCAACTTATTAACGACTTTCACAACTTCAATACCAAATAACTCAACAATGTGAGAAATATTGTATAACCACGATATTAGATAAGACTAACCCACAATAATGAGTCTCAAATAACGAAAATCAACAAGTAAAAGGATAACATGAACATTTACTTCAAGTAACAAAGATCGATAAGGAAAGAGATTACACGAACAATGACTTCAAATAATAATAATAATTAACAATGAAGGGATAACATGTAACAATAAAAGAGGCAACAAGTTCAACTAAAGCATGGCGGCAATTTAGCAAGTAGGATATAGAACGAGTACTAAACAAGTCATTTAAGGCATGTAAGGATAGTCTAACACAATTAAGGATATATTGACTGCGAGAATTTAGAACATGATATGGCATATCAATTAAAGCATGGGAATAGTTTAAGTAGCCTGAACCGGTCAATTACCACGTACAACCTGTATACCCACTCATCACCTTGCGTACACGAATTTCACTTAGAACAATTGAATCAAGCAATACCAATCATAAGGGATAGTTCCCCCACACGAAGTTAGGCAAGACGCTTACCTTAATTAGGCCAATTCAATACTCGAAAATAGCTTTTCCCTTGAAATCCGCCTCCACACGGCTCAAATCTAACAAAAATCGATTTAATATCATCAAACAACGCTAGGGAACTCAATTGCAATAGATAAAGTTAAGATCATTAAACTTTTCCAAAAAATTCAACAAACGTCAACCCCTCCCCCCCCCCCCCCCGGTCAAAACCCGAGTCCAATAGTAGATTCTGTTTACCCATGACCCCCCGAGTTCATATATGTGATTAGTTTCAAAATCCGAGTCCAAATCGACTCTCAAAACTTAAATTCTTATTTTTCAAAAACATGACAAAGCCTCACAGATTTTCACTTTGATTCACATGATTTTGATGTTAAAATCTAAGATATGTTGATGGAATAAGATTAAGAACATATTAGAATCACTTATCCAAGGTTTGTAGAAGAAAATCCACCCTCCAAATCGACTCCTACTGAGTCTAGGGTTCAAAAATATGAGAATGGGTTTAAAAATCCCGTCTCTCAACCCTTTAACCGGCTGCAGATGTCGCATTCGCGACACAGGGTTCGCATTTGCGAACCCTCGCAATTTCGAACCGGGGCTCGCATTTGCGAACCCTGACAGACTCAACATATATTGCAATTGTGATAAAGTCTTCGCAATTGCGATCTGGGGGAATATCGCAAATGCGAAGGGGATGTCGCATTTAGGACAACTGCCCTCACTTGTCACCTTCGCAAATGCGAGCCTGGTGTTTGCATTTGCGACACCAGAGCACCATACACTATATTTTACCATTTTTCAGTCCAAACCACTCTGGAATGTGTCCGAAACTCATCAGAGCCCTCGGGGCTCCCAACCAAACATCCACACAGTCTAAAAATATCATACAAACTCGCTCGCGCGATCAAAACATAAAAATAACATCTAAAACTACGATTCGAATACTAAAATGCATGGAATTCAACGAAATGTTCAAGAGCTTCTAGAATTATAACTAAACGTCTGAATCTTATCAAATCAACTCCAAACTACACCAAATTTTGCAGGAAAGTTCTGAATGTCATAACGGACTTATTCCAAGTCCCAAAATCAAATTCCGAGCTTGATAGCTAGAAGTCAAGCTACGGTCAAACTTTTCAACTTTAAATTGCCAAATTTTGGCAAATCAACACAAAATCAACCTACGAACTTCCAATCAGTTTCGGGCGTACGCCCAAGTCCGAAATTACGACACGAAGCTATCGGAGCCATAAAAATATAGTTTCCCAGTCGTTTCCACGAAAGTCAAAGTTTGGTCAACATTTTTAAATTTAAACTTCTAAGTCAAGAATCAAGGGTCCAAATCAACCCAAAAGCTTTCCGGAACGAAACTAACCAACCCCGCAAGTCATAAAATCATAAACACACATGTATGAAGATTCAAAATGTGGAAATGGTGCACAATTACATAAAATGACCGATTGGATCGTTACATATAGTCTAAGGATGGTATACAATACGAAGATATGAGCGTATGCATACATATTTGTCGCGTGTACAATTTTTTCAGAAATAAGCCAAATTATATCATTTGTATAAGCTCTGTAATTGTCAGCCAATATTTTAAGTGTTCCGTTGTTTTCCTGCTTCTTAACATTGTTGCCGTCACATATTAATTAAAACTCCACATCATCAAGGGAATCAAAACACAAAACGTCTTTTTTATAGGGTGTCGTCTTCTAAATTCATCAATTATTTAGTAAAATAATTTATCAATGTTTTCTTATTTCATATTGAAAACAGTAAATCGGGCAATTAAAATCACTTTTAGCCTGCAGCTTAAACTATTTATATCCGATAGCTGTAAAAGTGTAGAAAATTTGTGTGTATATATATATATATATATATATATATATATATATATATATATATATATATATATATATATATATATATATATATATATATATNNTTTTTTTTTTTTTTTTTTCTTGTAGTGACAATGTCATTTTCCCATATTAATCACGCTAGATGCAGTACATGATGAATATACAACGATAAAAAGTTCTCGTGATAACATTGTGTACCTAATATAGCAGGCGCAAGATAGTAGCAGTTGTCCACTGTCGTATTGTCGAGGTTGGCACATGTAGTAAACATCTGTTTCGTTACGGCATCTAATTTGTTTATCACTGGATAGATGCCTTAGAGAAAGAACAACTAATTATCCACCAAGTACTAGCATCTACACTATAAATTCCAGAGCCAAGATTTCTAAACCTGCGAAATCTTGATGGAGAAAACAGAGTTCCCACCTCACGTAGTCATCTTCCCTTTTCCAGTGCAAGGACATGTGAATCCTATGCTCAAGCTCGCCGAGCTACTGAGCCTATCTGGTATTCATGTCACCTTCATCAATACCCTTTCTATTCAAAATCGACTTTCCCGTAATACAGACATTCAATCCCGTTTCAGCCGCTTTCCTGGCTTTCGCTTTGAGACCATTCCCGACGGCCTTTCGGACAATGTTCCGCACACTCATCAAGAGACTAATAAATTGATGGTGATTTTTGATTTCTTGAGAAGCACTGCGAAGCCAATTTTGAAAGATATAATTCTTGCCGCCGGTTGTCCAAGTGGTAGTAGTGAAGTTACAAGGCAGGGGCCAGTGACTTGTGTTATAGCTGATGGAATTCTAAGTGTGGCACTTGAAGTAGCTGAAGATGTTGGAATTCCTATTTTATATTTTCGGACTGCAAGTGCTGCCTCATTTTGGATATATTTATGCTTGCCTCCACTAATTCAAAACGGAGAGCTCCCATTCACTGGTGAGTCATAAATCCAAGCTCTTCTTTTTTTTTTTTTTTTCCAAAAGAAAAAGTTTATATCAGAGAAGAAAAAAAGTTTTTCTTTCTAATCCATTGGTCTAGCTTATAAGTATAATTTTTAGACCAAATGGATCGGAAAGCAATTATGACAATGAACTCATCGTTTTCTGATCCATTTAGTCTAACTTGTGCTGACAATGAACTACGTAATTACTAGAGTTAGGGCAGAGCTAGAAGTTCAACCGAAGTCACTAACTTTAGTGCGAACCTGGATTTGCATTACAAAAATTCATAAAATATGTACAATAATTAAAATAAGGACCCAAATACTAACACCTGATGTCGTTATCCTAGAATTTAGAAACCATAAAGTTTAAATTCTGGTTTCGTCTCTAACTTGAGTCTTGTATTCCTGTAATCAAATTTAACTTGGGTTTTCAATTGATTTAAGAGCTTTGTGTAATTAGAAGCCATAAACAACCATGTAAAATTAGAGGTAGGAGCAAACGTACTTGAAATAGTTAACATAATTAATTTCATGAGGTAATTTCCATATATATGTCATCTTATTCCCTAATTTGTATCGGTTTTGAGGACTTGATCCAAATTGTAGGAAACGACCTAGATGTTCCAATTGCTAGTGTAAAGGGCATGGAGAGCCATCTCAGAAGACGCGATCTACCAAGTTTTTGTCGTGCGGATACCCTTCATGAACCAGTTCTCCAAATGGTGCTCACAGAAACTCAAAAAACTCTTAGAACCAAAGGGCTCATATTGAACACGTTCGAGGAACTCGAAGGACCTATATTGGACCAAATTAGAAATCACATACCAAATCTTTACAGCATTGGACCGCTCCATGCGCACTTGAAGAAAAAAATTGCATCAGAATCTATAAGGCAATCCATCCATTCTAACAGCATATGGGAAGAAGATAAGAGCTGCTTAAAGAGGCTTGACGAGCAACCAGCTAAATCTGTAATTTATGTAAGTTTTGGTAGTTTGGTAACAATGACGAAAAATGTGCTGACGGAGTTCTGGCACGGTCTTGTGAATAGTGGGCAGCGGTTCTTATGAGTCATTAGGCATGATTCTGTACTGGACGAAGATAAAGAATCTCAAGTAGAAGTAGAATTGAAAGAGGGTGTGATTGAAAATGGTTATATTGTAAGCTGGGCTCCTCAAGAGCAGGTCTTAGCACACGCTGCTATTGGGGGATTTTTGACTCATATAGTGGTTGGAACTCGACTTTGGAGAGCATAATTGAGGGAGTGCCAATGATATGTTGGCCTCAATTAGCTGACCAGCAAATCAATAGCAGGTATGTTGAGGAGGTGTGGAAATTGGGGTTGGACATGAAAGATACTTGTGATAGAGTCATCATTGAGAAAATGGTGAGGGATTTGATGGAAGTGAGGAGAAGTGAGTTCTTGCAAAGGGCAAATGAGAGGGCAAAATTAGCAAGAGCAAGTGTTGCTGAAGGTGGATCCTCAGACTCAAATTTAACCCGATTAGTTCAGGACATAATGTCTATGCAAAGGAAAAACTGAACGTCGGATGCACAATTTTGTTGGACCGAGATCGTATTTTTACGCCTGATCTACTTATTATCAACTCCAATAAAATGTAAATGAGTCACATGTGACTCTTATATCAGTAAATTTACTTAGTAACTCTTGAATTTTGCAAATAATGAATTTTAAACTATAAACCTATTTGGATTGGCTTAAAAAAAATGGTTTTTCAGCAGAAATAACTTTTAAGCCAAAAAACAATAAGTTGGGGTTGCCCAATTTATTACTTTTGGCTTGTTTTAAGCACTTTTTAACTTTGTCAAATACTGAAAAAAGCTAAAACAGCGTAAAATCTAGTTTGATCAGCTTAAAAGCCAATCCAAACACCCTCAATGTTCAAAAAGAAAGCGAATATGACTAATTAAGATTGATGGTTAAGTATGGGAGTTACTTGATGGTTAATGTATGGGCGGAATACATCCGGAGACACTTAAAGTAGGCATCATTTTTCATTTAGACACCTAAACTTAAAGTTGTTCCTATTGAGCACTTATACTACACTAAACTTTTCCAATTAGACACTTCTTGCTGAGTTGGCACATAGAGTGAGCTTCATCCAAAATAGGCGCGTGAAGAGCCCATAAAACAGATTTTATCTTCATTTTTTCTTTTTATTTCTTTCTTCTTCTTCTTTTCTCTCCACCATCACTTCCACCATTGTCTCCTCCTCTTTCACCATTGTTGTGCCTCCACCATTAATTTACTTTGCTTAAAAGTAACCAAAATCAATATTGCCTACTTAACAGCAAGACATCCCATAGATATGAACTTATGCTCCTTTATGTTCTTGTTTTCTATTCTTATGAAATTAAACAAAAGAAATGCGTCTCATTTCCTTAGCTAATAATGGTGGAGGACCGTATCAGTTGATTGAAATGGAAGTAGGACCATATTCTTCATTTGAAGTCAAAACACCATTAATGGGATCTTTAAAAAAGCTTGAAGGTTTAAAATGGGTTACTTGTTTTGATGAGAAACTGAGAAATTAATATTGGGGTTGTCTTCGAGTCTTGGTAGGGAATCTTTAGTTGAAGTTATAACAAATTTGGAGGTGTTTCTCTTGAAATTTTGGATTAAAATCGTGGTTGGAACAAGAATAGACAGAATATAGTGAAGAACACCAAGAACAATGATTTCAAGAACACCAATGTGTCCTTTTTTTTGTCTTTTCTTTTGTTAATAATGTGTCATTTTCTGATTGGGTGTAAATTAATTTTTTTTTCTTTTTAAGAATGTTATTTTATTTTGTTAACTAAATAGATTTTAAAATAGTTTTTTCTTTTCTTTTAAACTCAAAATGATATATGTCCTTTTTTTTATTTGTCATTCGCCGTATCAGCCGCGAGTGCATTGCACACACTTTGTAAGTTTGGCTAATTGTCAAGATAGTGTCTAATTGGAACAAGTTTAGTATAGTATAAGTGCTCAATAGGAACAACCTTCCGTTTAGGTGTCTAAATGAAAAATTGTACCAACTTTAAGTGTTTCCAGATGTATTCCCCTTAATGTATGGGAGTTACTATTTTGTTATCATTTCCTCCAATTTATTTTGTTCAGTTTTTCCGAAATTCGTTTTCCAAATTGGATCGATTATTGAACATGGGTAAGGTACTCAATCAAGACTAGTTGATTGGTAAAATGTTCTTCAACGGAAGTACCCGTTTACAACATGCGCCAAAGTGCTATAACACGCTGCTCTTTTATTTTTGTATAGCAATTATCTGGATAGACAATATTGAACTTAAAATAGTAATTTGATTTATAATTTGAGTTGACTGGCCAATAATAATAGCTTAAAGTCGATTTCTGTGTCAACTATATGCTGAATTGCTGATTGCTCAAGGTTTATAAACAGAATCATTGAAGTCTTGTTGGCTTGCTTCTTGACAATGTAATAACTTTCATATACGGTCAAAATCATATGCTTCGATCTACAGGCTTAAGGGGTTGAGTTCAGGCAAGGTCGAGTTCGAGCTCGGTGGACCAGACTCGAAATCGAAGATAGGATGCAATGCTCGAGGATCGAAATACGATGAATACCGAAACCGAGTACGCTCGAGCCCGAAATAATGCCCTTATGGATCTCTAACAGAATGAGCGAGATTCCTGCCACGTCCCCAAAATCATGGCGGAAATCCCGAAATAGAATTGTACAATTCCATATTAGGCGGTTAGACAGTTGTCCCAATAAGATTCCTTACTGTAAATGAAAATGTACCTTATTTAGGGTTCCCCTATTATATAAAGGGGATCCCAATCATTTGTAAACATCATCTAATCATTGGCAAATAATATACATTTCTATTTTCCGCTCATTGTCCATCACAATTGTCCTTTATCTTTATTGTCTTACTTTATTGTTCTTGGTTCATCTCGAGGTCACTAAGCTCGAGGCCGATACTGTTTGGTAACACTGGTTTGATTCATTCATTTCTTTCATCTATACTTTATACTTCTTGATTATTAATTGGTATTGAACTAAATCACATATCTCTAAAACCACAAATCAAATTTAATTGTTACTCGTATTTTCGAGGTAAACAGTTTGGCGTCCACCGTGGGGCTAAAGATAATAGTGATTATTTCATTACTGATTCTTATAACACACGTTATCTTTACACTTTTTCTTGTCAAGAATTTTTGATTCTCAGGATTAAACATATCGAACTCGCAAAATACACCTATTCATGATAGCAAAAGGTCTTGGATTTCATGGGGAAAACAACAATGTAGGGTTCGGTGTACCATCGATAAACCCAGGGAAAATGCCAAATGTGGAACCAATTGACGTTACTTCGCACATTGCTTTAAATGCAGATCTAGGCATAGACATCGGAGGGAATGTACACAGGGAAGCCCGATCTGGAGGCCAAGGAACACCAGGAATAGGAGATGGGGGAGTCAGCCTCCAAGTGATATTCGAGATGCTGCAAGCTCAGCAAATCGCCATCGCTCAACTTCAGAGTCAGAACAAAACTCCGAGTATAGCTGTACTGGAAAACACTCGACGTGCTGAACCAGCGCCAGAGAGGTCAAATAAAAATGGCTCGGGGACTGACCCCATTATTAAAAAAATGCTCGAAGAGCTGACCAGGAGGATCGAGTCCGGGAAAAAGAAGATTGAAGACAACGACAAAAAGGTGAAAACTTATAACTCCCGTGTTGACCAGATACCGGGGGCACCTCCAGTCTTGAAGGGTTTAGATGCCAAGAAGTTCATACAAAAACTATTCCCTCAAAGTGCGGCACCGATGCCCATTCCTAAAAAGTTTCGCATGCCCGATATACCCAAATATAATGGGACAACCGACCCTAATGAGCATATTACCTCGTATACTTGTGGGATTAAAGGAAACGACCTGAATTGATGAGATCGAGTCCGTGTTGTTGAAAAAATTTGGGGAAACTTTGTCGAAAGGAGCCATGATTTGGTATCACAACTTGCCTCCTAACTCTATTGATTCTTTTGCTATGTTAGCAAACTCCTTCGTGAAAGCACACGCCAGGGCCATAAAGGTGGCAACGAGGAAATCGGATGTATTCAAGATAAAACAAAGGAACAACGAGATGTTGAGGGAGTTCGTGTCCATGTTTCAGATGGAGCGAATGGAATTACCACCGGTCTCGGATGACTGGGCCGTACAAGCTTTTATGCAGGGTTTGAGCGAGAGGAGTTCGATCGCGTCTCCACAATTAAAGCGGAATTTGATCGAGTACCCAGCTATGACGTGGTCGGACGTACATAACCGTTACCAATCGAAGATCAGGGTCGAGGATGACCAGTTGGGAGCCCCCTCGGGGTTAGTTCCTCCTAATAGATTGGCAGCCAAACCCCCGAGGGATACAGACAGGGAATCAAGATCGAACAAGGGACGGTGTCAGCCATATGTCGATCGGAGAAATAACGGGTTGGGTCATAACTCTCCTCGAAATGATCAGAGAAACGATCGAGGTTAAAGCTCTCGGGGTAAGAGCAGGTTCGATAAGCACACCGACCCCGCGAATGCACCTCGATTGTCAGAGTATAATTTCAGTGTAGACGCATCAAGGATTGTGTCAGCTATTGGAAGAATCAAAGATACCAGATGGCCCAGGCCTATATGGACCGATCCTTCTCAGAGGAATCCAAACTTGATGTGTAAGTATCATGGAACACATGGCCATAGGACCGAAGATTGCACGCAGCTAAGAGAGGAGGTAGCTCGGTTGTTCAACGAGGGCCACCTTCGAGAATTTCTCCGTGATCGAGCTAAAAACCACTTCAGGGAGAGAGATGAATGAAAAAATGAGCAGGAAGAACCACAACATGTAATCCACATAATCGTTGGCGGTGTCGATGTCCCGTAGGGACCTGTGTTCAAATGCACCAGGGTATCGATCACCAGAGAAAAACAGACTCGGATTTATGTGCCAGAGGACGCCTTATCATTCTATGACAAGGAAGCGGAAGGCATATCTTGTCACGCCCCAACCTCGGGAGGCGCAACTGGCGCTCGATCGAGTGAACCCAACCGAGCAAGCCTCTTCACACACTTCCTACCCAACTCATCATGAACAAGGTAACCATGTTTCCTTTTTATTTAAGCAAGGAAAGGTGGTACATTCAACAGTGTTAGTTCATTTTATATTACAAACTTAAACCGTAGTTAAAGTTAGTTTTCGAAATTCCCATAGAGTTACAATTTATAGATAACATGATTTTAGAATTACAACATACTTCATGAATCCCTCAAATACCCGTACATAACCCACACATATGTCTACGGAGCCTCTAAGGATGTAAAAAGACAAGTATGACAGTGCCGGCAACAAGGCCCTGGCTATACCTCAAAAGTAGGAGTCTACAACAAAAGATGGGCAATATAACCCCTTGAAGGAGAAAGGGGGCTCACCAAGACTTCGAGAAGAGGGCACTCCGCTACACGCGATCGACACTATCTGTAATGGAGCCACCTACATTTATATAAACAAATGTAGTGCCCCCGGCAAAAGAGACGTTAGTACCATGGAATAGTACTAGTATGTATAACTAAACACCATGTAGTTAGAAAGAACTTTCATACCAAACATAAAGAAATCACAAGAATAACTCAATAGCTT